GCAAAATCGCGAAAGTAAAAATCCCTCTTTACAGAAGCCTAGCCTTTTATACCAAAGGCAGAATACGCCTCAACGGCTGTGATTAACCCATCTAACGGCTGCAAAAACGCCGTTTCGAATTCGACGATTAACCCCAAACGGTACCGTTTCAAATTTGACGGTTCGTTTTTTAAATCTGCCCGTTGGACTGTTTCAGTTTATCTTTTTTACGGCGACATTTATTACGCACGTCATTCAGAGGACAACTGTCGCGTCACGTGCCGCGTCTTAGTCAGACTTCTCAGACGGGCCCACTTAAGCCCCTTTCAACACTCCTTTCCACTTTTGTACATTTTAAATTTTGACAAGTGTTTCACTTCGGCTACGACCACGGTGACCCAGTGTCACACGTTTTACTTTGGCTACGACCACGGTGACCCAGTGTCACACGTTTTATTTCGGCTACGGCCACGGTGACCCAGTGTCACATGATTTACTTCGGCTACGGCCACGGTGATCCAGTGTCACACGTTTTACTTCGGCTACGACCACGGTGACTCAGTGTCACATGTTTTACTTCAGCTACGGCCACGGTGACCTAGTGTCACACGTTTTACTTCGGCTACGGCCACGGTGACCCAGTGTCACATGTTTTACTTCGGCTACGGCCACAGTGACCCCGTCCCACATATTTTACTTTGGCTCCGACCACTATGACTCCGGTCATTATTTTTATCACGGCTCCAGCCACTGTTCCTTGCTATAGCTCTTTATTTCATTATCCACTACGGCTATACATACTTTTGCGGTACTGATTTCCGTTTTTATGTCTGTAACTTATTTATCTTGTATTTTCTTTCACTCCTATTTATGCACTACCCCTATCTCTCCCAATAACATCATTCACAAATGAATGACTTCGGGGGGGGAATAGTGTAGGGGCAGGACCGAGGTGCTCAACCTCGGACGTACGGCAGTAATTCCTTCATAATCGGAGTAGGGAGTAAATCCAGGTTTTCCCGCTCAAATAGCTACACAGCTGTTACGATGGACATCCTTACATCTAAATATATCTCAATCTCCCGGTCCCGAAATAACTGCTTGGAGAGACACACCAAATCCCGAATATCTTGCTTGGCTCAATCTCCCGGTCTCGAAATAACTGCCTGGAGATACACATTGAATCCCGGATATCTTGCTTGGCATCTTGATTGGCATGCCGCGTGGATTCCTCATCGGAACATATAAATACCCCTTAAGGGCCATGCCAAAAGGTAATTGAAACCAACCCTAAGCTCCTCGTTTCTCCGCTTTAAAGGTAGCCCCGATTACTGCTGACTTAAGCATCGGAGTGTCTACCCCAAGGATCCACCTCGGGGCCTTGCAGGTTGATCCAGAGTGCAGATACGAACTGAAGAAGGACTCCTAGTTTGGTGCAGTTACACGAATAAAGTGTGTATATACTTGTTAGGATAACAATCAAATTAACCTAAATACGTAATAAATCCATGAGAGCAAAATATAAAGAAGCATATGCATGAGTCATTATGAATCTTATATACACTTAAATGGATCTAAAAGGACAAATTAAAGTACAACACATGTAAAACACTCTCAAAGAGTCTATAAATACCCTTACACCTCTCAAAGGTAAGAGATTTTCTTGGAGCTCTTCTCTTTCTATTATGCTTTCTCTCTAAAAAGAGTTCTAAGTATAGAATATTACTAATTTAGATGTTGAAGTATCTACCCCGAGGGATAACCCCCAAGTTTGTTTTGCAGGTCCCCATGTTGGTCAACTTGTGAACGATTAGAGCTTATGAAGCTACCCAAACACTACTCTTTTAAATGAAGATCAAAGTCCCAAATCCACCTCTTGAATAAAAGAGAAAGAATAGATTTGTCTCAAAAATTAAAAAATAAATAAAATAAGTTATCCTTTAAATTATTAATCAAAATAAATCACTCATTATTTGACATGTAACATCATTACACGTCAATTTTTTATTAAAAGCAAGCTTGGTGACAAACAGATTTCTAATGTGTGCTAACATCATATGTTAAATAATGAGTAATTTTCCATGATCAATAATTTAAAGAGATAACTTGTCTCTACCCTCTCTTTTAGGGGCAAATCTATTCTTATTCTCTCTTATTTAAGGGTAGATTTAGGGGTTCTACCTTAAATTAAGGAATGCATATGTATGTATTAAAGGGAGAATCTGACATGTTAAATGCTCTATGTTGACGTAAAATGTTAGATAATAAAATGAATAGTACACTTACTCTTAATTGGTATTATGTTAAACTTTGGTATCGCTTCTTTTTTTTTTTAATGATTAGAGTGTATTTGGTTCAATTTTTTCTAATTATTTTCCAGACAATTTAAAGTGTACATCCCCTACATCGATTTGGTGCATTTAAAAAAAATTTAATTTTTTAAAGTGTGGACCCGAAAACTTATATTTTAAATCTAACCTATAAGATAATACTTGACATGAGGGTTTTCTCCTCTTAAACTGGATCTTCCCATTAGCTTGATAGGGCTCCCCACATTTTCATTTGTAAGGTTTGGAATTCTAGCAAATATGGCATATGGCTCCTATATATCTTCGCTTCATTTTTGAGATTTTTTTTTTTTTTTAATTTTGAGTTGTACAATAAAAGATAATCATTTTTATCTTTTAACTTATCCCACTTGCATGGTATGTGATTTAAACTTAAAATTTCTTACACTTATCAGAAGTAAATGACTACTTAATTATGAGTTCCTTGGCAATAGAAGGTCTAAATCAACTCTATATAGATATTAGTAATTGACAACATTGACTATTTCATCAATAGAAGGTCTAAATCAACTCTCTATATATATTAGTAATTGACAACATAGACTATTTCATCACGATAAACTTGCTTTTTGACAATTCTATTTAATTCCCTCTTAATTAATCAAATCTTAACATCTGGCTCTTGAACTAATGTGAAGAGTGATTTTAGGATGATATTATATTATGTAGATAAGTTGTTAGAAGAGTCAATCATATTAGTAATGGATTGTAGAGGTGAGCATTTTAGGGTAGAGGTTAGGTATGACTGATACTAGGTATTTGATAAAATCAGAGTATGAATGGCAATGATATGCGCATGAAATCCTGTCGTTCTCATTGTGATTGCAATATACATATATACAAACTGTCAGCTATAATCAAGCCTAAATCAGTGATTCTATACAAGAAATGCATTTACTGGTATGGATGCATTTACTAGTATGAACAGCAAAATATTATAGATTAATGTTGATTGATTGATTTCCTTATTCATCTCCTTGATATCCGACTATACTCCCCCTCAAGTTGGAGCATGAAGGTCTTTAATGCCCAACTTGCATAATAGGAAATGAAGTCATTCCTTGCCTAATGCCTTTGTAAACAAATCTGCTAGTTGACAATGAGAAGGCACATGAGCTGTGAGCAACTCCTTCCTTTGAATGCGTTCACAAACAAAATGGTAATCTATCTCAATATGTTTTGTGCGCGCATGAAACACAGGATTATTGGTAATGTGTAAGGCAGCTTGGTTATCACAAAACAATGTCATTGGCTTCGAGTGATATATCCCAAGATCATAAAGCAAGGACTTTAACCAAGTGAGCTCACTAACAATTGATGCCATGGCCCTATACTCAGCTTCAGTGGAGGAGTGAGAGACAATTGATTGCTTTTTCGACTGCCAAGAAATAGGGGAGTGTCTGAGACAAATATCATAACCGGTTGTTGAGCGCCGTGTCCGTGGGCCACCAGCCCAGTCTGCATCACAATAAGCAACAAGATGTGGATGATTGGAAGAGGAGAGCAATATCCCTTGTCTCAATGAGTGCTTAACATAATGTAACACTTTCATTGCTGCTTCAAAGTGTTCCTATTTGGGTTTCTCCATGAATTGTGCCAAGATTCCAACAGAATAGCATATGTCTGGTCGTGTTATTGTCAAGTAAAGGAGCCGACCGACTAGCCTCTTATATTGTGAAGGATCTGGTATAGGTGAACCAGATGCAAGCTTGAGATGATGATGCTGCTCCATGGGAAAGGAACTAGGCTTTGCCCCAAGCATGCCTGATTCTGTGAGTATGTCGAGAGCATACTTTCGCTGGCTCAGAAGTATCCCTTTTGTTGTTCTAGCTACCTCAATTCCAAGAAAATATTTTAAGGGACCCAAATCCTTTATAGAAAATGCAGAATGAAGATAGTGTTTTAAGGTTGCAATTCTGGCTCCATCATTGTCGGTGATGACAATATCATCAACATAAATTAATATTGCAACAAAACTATCAATAATGGCCAATGTGAATAAGGAATAATCTACCTTTGATTGCTTAAACCAAACTGCTTCAAGAGAGGTTGTAAACTTTTCAAACCAATTCCTAGATGCTTGTCGTAGTTCGTAAAGTGATTTCCGCAACCTACAAATTTTGTTGCTCTGGTTGCAAGTAAAACATTGTGGGATTTTCATATATACCTCTTCATGTAAGTCACCTTGCAAGAAGGCATTATTGACATCTAATTGATGCAGTTCCCAGCGCTTAATCGAAGCAAGAGCCAGTAATGTCCTCACAGTGACCATTTTAGCAACAGGAGCAAAGGTCTCATGAAAATCAAGCCCTTCAATTTGAGTGAATCCCTTTGATACTAAGCGAGCCTTGTACCATTCAACAGTTCCATCTGGCTTGAATTTGATCTTATAGACCCATTTGGAATCAATTGCACGTTTGTCAGGAGGCAATGTCTCAATTGTCCAAGTGCCATTCTTCTCAAGTGCAGCAACCTCTTACCTTATTACTTTTCGCTAGTTTTCATTTTTAATGGCCTGAGAAAAGGATTTAGGCTCATCTATGGAAGAGATGGCTGCTAAATAACTGAGATGAGTGGATGAAAAAGAATTGCAAGAGACATAATTAGATAGAGCATAGGGATCACCTAAGTTAGTTGATTGAGATGTAGCTTGCATAGGCATAACAGACTGGGGCATGGTGCAAACATAATCATCAAGCCTTTGGGGGACACGCCTCTCACCTTGTGGTCGAAGAGGTCGGACTGCGTGATCTTGATCTGGGTGGTTTGTATTGGTCTCCAAATCAATGTCGGCAACTTGTGCTTCTTCCATTGTTTCGGAATGGTTTTGGTTATCAATGGTGTTATCTAAGACACTATCATCAGAAGCCAAAAAATGAGTTTCCAAGTTGGGTGGCGTGATACCAAGGCAAGGTGAAGCCACACAATCTTTATAATTATGAATAGATGCATATGGGAAGATTTTCTCATAAAAAACCATATCACGTGAAATGAAAATTTGATTAGTTTCCAAATCATAAACTCTATAACCCTTTTGTCCATAAGGGTAACCGATGAAAATACATTTTGATGCTCTAGAGTCAAATTTTCCACGATTCTTGGTGTGATTATGAGCATAGCAAAGACAACCAAACACTTTTAAATGTGAATAACCAGGAGTTTTACCAAAAAGTTTTTCAAATGGTGTGAGACCCGAGAGAATAGGGGTAAGAGTTAAATTTATTAAATAAGCTGCAGTGAGAACACATTCACCCCAAATTTTCAAGGGTAAATTAGCTTGAAATCTGAGGCCACATGCAACCTCAAGGAGGTGACGATGTTTACGCTCAACAATGCCATTTTGTTGAGGCGTATAGGCACATGATGTTTGTTGTATGATACCTTTCTTAAAACAAAATTCTTTAACAACTCCTTCAGTGAACTCTTTTCCATTGTCACTACGTATCTATTGGACACTAGTTTGAAATTGAGTTTCAATCATATGGCAAAAACTTATCAAATATGATGCAGCTTCTGATTTGTGCTTTAAAAGATAAACCCATGTGCATCATGAAAAATCATCAACAATGGTTAAAAAATAGTGTGCTCCTGTATTAGATTGAGTGGCATACCTACCCCATATATCACAATGAATTAAGGCAAAACAATGGGTAGAGACATTATTGCTAATAAGAAAAGGCAATCTTGTTTGCTTGGCACGATGACAAGTGTCACAAACATGCTTTATTTTGCTTAAACATGTAGGCACATAAATTATTTGGTTATTCTTTCTATGGATGCATGGCCTAGTCGCTGATGCCACAACTCCAAGGATGTGTCCTCCTTTTGCTTGGTGTGACTTGTTGCAGCAATATGCCCAAAGTCACAATAGTATAGCCCTCCACGAAGCTTACCCATTCCAATCAACTTCCTCGAGGCTAGGTTCTGAAAAAAACAAAAGTTAGGGAAGAAGATCACAGCACAATTAAGTTGTTCAGTTATCTTACTAATAGAAAGGAGATTGCATGCAAATTGAGGAACATGAAGTACATTGTTCAATGTAAGTTTGTTTGGCAATACAGTCTTTCCTATACTAAACACTTCTAAGGTGGTGCCATCGGGAATATGAACTAGAGAAGAGTAAGGTTTTATGTCTTGAAGTATGGAAATATTAGGTGTCATATGGTCTGATGCACCACTATCAATAATCCAGGGAATTAAGTTTGTTGCCTTACCAGCTAGGTTGATGGAATGTTTAGGAGTAGAATTACCACCAAGAAGCATGAGGAGTTGATCATACTGCACTTTAGAAAGTCCTGCAATTGGTGACTGATCTAGTGAATCTCCTGCCATCTGTGACTCATGTGATGTATTGGCTGCAAAAATCAACTCTTTCTCCTGATGTTGATGCTTTTGTTGCTCCCCCTTTCCCTTCATTTTGGCTGGCCCTATCTTCCAACCAACTGGGTATCCAATGATTTCATAGCATCTCTCTTTAGTATGACCAACCTTCTTGTAATGATCACAGCGTAGCTTCCCTGACATAGAAGATTTCCCAGTATGGTTCATCTTTGCTGCTAAGGCTGTTGCTTCTATAATTGGACTTCTAGATGCAGCCACTGCTTGTTGCTTCTCCTCTTTGGTAGTCATTGCATACACCTTATTTAGTGAGGGCAGGGGTTCTATGCTTAAGATCTGTGATCTAACAGTTGAAAAATTCTCATTCAGTCCCATGAGAAATTGATGAACTTTCTCTGTTTCTCATGCCTTCATATACTCCTTTGCTGCACCACATGTACAACCACAAGTGCATGTCGGCACAAGCTCATTTGCTTGTAGTTCATCCCATATAGGCTTCAATTTTGTGAAATATGCTGCTATTGATCTTGACTGTTGTGTGGTGGTTGCAAGTTCTAGTTTTAATTCATGTACCCGAGATGCATTTCCTTGTGAGAAGCATTCATGTAAGTCATTCCAAACCTCAGCAGCACTCTCCACATAGGCCACACTTCCCTGCAAGTCCCTAGAAAGAGCATTAAGTAACCATGAAAGCACCATAGAATTGCACTTTGTCCAAGCCTGATACTTTGGGGAATCTACATTTGGTCTCTTAAGGCTCCCATCAACAAACCCCATCTTGTTCTTTGCAAATAAGGCATTCTGCATACTCTTTCTCCACGTGTGGTAATTCTCCCCGATCAAGGGAGTCGTGACTAAGACCCTCCCTAGATCATCACTGGAATTGAGAAAATAGGGTGAATCTAGATTTGTTGTCTTAAGGATACCTATCTCTCTCTTTTCCATTTTGGATCCATTCTTGGCTGTAGTGTCAATCATTGTCGATTGTTGAACGCAGCAAAACTTGCCGTCGAAATCGATTGTTTGCAGCAAACTCTTGCTGTCGATTGAACCTTCACTGCTTTGATACCATGATAAAATTAGAGTATGAATGGCAATGATATGCACATGAAATCCTGTCATTCTCATTGTGATTGCAACATACATATATACAAACTGTCAGCTATAATCAAGCTTAAATCAGTGATTCTATACAGGGAATGCATTTACTGGTATGAACAGCAAAATATCAGAGATTAATGTTGATTGATTGATTTCCTTATTCATCTCCTTGATATCCGGCTATAGTATTTGTTTTGAAAATTTTTGGGTATAATTTTTAAAATTTTGTATTTAACTACTCAAAAACTTATACATATAATATTTAATCTTATGGGTACTAGAAAACTTGCGGCGATATTTATGTATTTGTTAAAATATTTCTCCAAATTACCATTTAAATTAAAATAATTTTTATGTAACGAATTAAAATATAGTTAACTACGTAAAACCATATTAAAAATGTTCAAACTAATTAAATCAACTACTAACCAAATAGCAATACAAAATCATAAATAAATTAAAGGTTAGGGCATAGAATAAGGGTGCAATAAATACATATTTTCATAATTAATTTTTATTAAAAGCATAAATGTTGACTTTGATTTAATTAATTAATCAATTAAAATCATTTATGTATCAATGATGTTAAAATGTATATCAACTTTTACAATTTTTAATATAAATTAATTATAAAATGATATATTTATTGCATTCTTAACTTGTGTCCTAAAGATAAACTCATAAATTAAAGTAAATTATAAAAGGAAAGGGATAAAGCAAAATCCCTTCTCAAACATAAATAGGTTAAAATACCAATTTAATCCCTCAACTTTCAGATTTATATCAAAATTATCCCTCAACTTTAGAAAATATCAAAATTGTCTCTAAGTTTTAATTTTTGGTGTCAAAATAGTTTTCAAACTTTGAAAATAACATCAATTTAGTCCTTAAACTTTAACAACAAGTACCATCTTAGTCCTTACTTTAATTAAAAATACCAATTTAGTTTTTTAACCTTGATTATATATAGATTTGATATATAAATAGAAATATTTTACGATAATAAAATATGAATAATTTTACATGTCTTTAGTATTTTAAAAAGAATTGATTTTGTAATAAAATAACGAGTTATGTGATATTTCTATTAATGAAAGGACTTTTTTGATATTAATAATTAAAGTTTATGAACAAATTTTGTACTTTTAAAAGTTAATTAAAGAATAATTTTAGTATAAATCTAAAAGTTGAGAGGGACTAAATTGATATTTTAACCACATAAATAAAAAGAATTATCAAATTATACCTAAAATTTTAAAAGGATAATCTTAAATTAAATATTCTCCTCCCAACCTTCCTAAATCCAAATCAAAACTCAACAAGAATCAATTTTACAATAAACTATGATAAGTAAGAGATACATTACTATAATAATTTATTTTTAAAAATAATAGTAATTATTATAATATAGATATTGGTTTAGTTTTACATTGTATCAGGTAATATATCCAGGCAAGAAATTGGTTAAACAAATTAGGTCCACATGTTAAGTAAACAATTTTCAATCACTATACTTGGT